TAATTAACTCAAATAGCTACTGTATCAGAGCTCAATTCTAAAGCAACTCAGGTCTTCAAAGATCATTAAAAGTGAACTTTCTTTCTCTCTGTAGACCAGTGTTTAGACCTCGGTCACTGTGCATTGTCCATCAGGCCGTCTGGATCTCACGCTTACATTTTGTGCACCAAGAGCTCCTGCAGATGTATGGTCTGTGGAGGGCTGAGTAGAACCTATTAATGAAAGTCTCTGTGGCACACCAAATGCATTCAATCGCAGAGAAGAAACATCTTGGTCACTGTTCTCATCTGATTCAGGGTCATCCACTGCAGCATCAGGAACTGGCACCCTGACACCAGGTAGTGGAAGGCCCTCCTCACCTTCCCCAATATTATTTCTTCCAGATACATCTCCAATTTGAAGTTGTGAAAAGGAGTTCTCCAGTTGAGTATTTCCATCAGTATGTGGTAGAAGTGGACTTGTAGGCTGACCACCCAAGGATGTAAGTGGCCTTACAGGTAACACTGCAGTGGGCTGGCCTGACGTAGCTCCAAGTGCAGCGAGATTGTCTGCACCATCAGCTGAGCTCTCTCGTGCTGCATTAACAGTGGCTGCATCACAGTCTAACCGCAACCCAGCAACACCTTTCTTTGGCATGTCTACAATGTCTCTTTTCATTTTTCTACGCCGTCCATGTTCGTTGCGTCTATACTGTACCATGTTTTCAAAGTCTGCGACATAAAGAAAGCCAGCAATCAGCATCTCTGTGTTTTTTTTGCCTTTTGTAAATGCATCTTCAAGCTCCCTGCTTGTCCTCTCGTCATATTGCCACCACCCATTTCTGCCCTCATAATACCAGGCATATTCCCCATTTCCTCGGCTAGCAGACTTCAGTTCCTCTGGGGACAACAATGTTGGCTTCTCCATGAAGTCCTCTGGGATTTCTTGCCTGCACAGCGCACAACGTCTTCCAAGCCATGAAGCCCCCTTTACACACAGATAGCAGAAGATGTGTTTGCAAGGAAGACTGACTGGGTGAACACAGGTCTGTAAGCAAATAGCACACTCAGGCACTGTAAGAGAGGGTGCACCATTGGAACAGGGCTCACCCAGTTTCTTATTTGTGGGCAGCATGTTTGTAGAGTGGCTAACTTCACCACAACCAGCCATTCTGCAAAAGAGTTAAGATAAAATAATATTGCAATAAGCAATGGTAAATAATTAACTACTACAAAATAAATTATTAATGACATATATAAATTGTATCTGAAATGCAATTACACAAATTGGTAAACAAACGTTTGCCACCCAGAAGCATTAATAGGTGCTATGTGGTGTGATGTTCTAAAGCATATATGAATAGCCCTATCCAGGTTGATTGCCATATGGAGCCAGCTGACCGGTTACATGGGAATAGTAAAAGATATAGATATAGATATAGATATACAGTTGTGTACTCTCTGGCTCTACACATACATTCACACACAGCCCTTCCATACACATCAACATAAACACACCAAACCTAGATTTATACTACCGTAAAATACACTAATATATATATACACACACACACACACACACTGCACTTAATTACCACATTTCACGCACCCACCGCACACTAATAAGTCATGCAAACGTAACCCTTTCATTAACGCATCTAGCTTGTTAAACAAAGGTGCTTTTCAATATTCTAATCTTTCATTTACATCTGTAGAGGTTTGAAAAGCATTTAATGCAATTTTGAGATGAACACATCCACAAAGAAAAACAGAAAACACTGCCTAATATTTGAAGAAGATGTCTAACAGCTAAACTCACTACAGCTAATTTAGATGAGAATATCAGTAAGAAACCTTTTAGACTGGCTCATGTGAGAAGAAAAAAAAAAAATCTGTTAAAATGACACATTTTCTGCCATCCCTTTGAGAAAACCACTGACACTACAAATTGCCATTCTGAGGAAGTAAGTATCTAGCCAAGTGCAATTGCAACATATAGCTAATGGCAGCTACAATGCAGACTATATGGGGAGGGGGGGCGATACAAATACATATTACTTTATATAACTAATCATTCCCCAAATGAAGAAAAAAATAAATAAAATAAATAAATAAATATAAATATATATATATATATATATATATATATATATAAGGCTTGGTAGTGCTTGGGAAGCAAAATTCAATTAGGTTATGGTGGGGAATAATTGTGATTGAAAACCCCTTCCACCTGAAGTATGTGGATAGTTAATACAATGCTAAACAAAAATCTGCACACCAGTCAAGCCATAAGACTTGCTTTTCCCACAGAAATCCCAAATCAGCAGTGATGTTACAACCGCAAAGGATTCTGGGTGGGCATATGCAAATTAGTTTAACAAAGAATCACATTTTTGCCTCATTCCATTTTAAGCATGGATTCCTTTTAATTTGTGTTTGCAGTATACAACTGCTTGGAACACAATTTAGGATAAGATGCAAAACCAGTGAACCACTCATGGACAGCTGTTTCGTTGTTAATGCAACTCTTCAGCATGAGGTTGGTTACTGGTTTGCTTAGTAAGGCTTGGTAGTGCTTGGGAAGCAAAATTCAATTAGGTTATGGTGGGGAATAATTGTGATTGAAAACCCCTTCCACCTGAAGTATGTGGATAGTTAATACAATGCTAAACAAAAATCTGCACACCAGTCAAGCCATAAGACTTGCTTTTCCCACAGAAATCCCAAATCAGCGGTGATGTTACAACCGCAAAGGATTCTGGGTGGGCATATGCAAATTAGTTTAACAAAGAATCACATTTTTGCCTCATTCCATTTTAAACATGGATTCCTTTTAATTTGTGTTTGCAGTATACAACTGCTTGGAACACAACTTAGGATAAGATGCAAAACCAGTGAACCACTCATGGACAGCTGTTTCGTTGTTAATGCAACTCTTCAGCATGAGGTTGGTTACTGGTTTGCTTAGTAAGGCTTGGTAGTGCTTGGGAAGCAAAATTCAATTAGGTTATGGTGGGGAAAAATTGTGATTGAAAACCCCTTCCACCTGAAGTATGTGGATAGTTAATATAATGCTAAACAAAAATCTGCACACCAGTCAAGCCATAAGACTTGCTTTTCCCACAGAAATCCCAAATCACTACCAAGCCTTACTAAGCAAACCAGTAACCTCATGCTGAAGAGTTGCATTAACAACGAAACAGCTGTCCATGAGTGGTTCACTGGTTTTGCATCTTATCCTAAATTGTGTTCCAAGCAGTTGTATACTGCAAACACAAATTAAAAGGAATCCATGTTTAAAATGGAATGAGGCAGAAATGTGATTCTTTGTTAAACTAATTTGCATATGCCCACCCAGAATCCTTTGCGGTTGTAACATCACTGCTGATTTGGGATTTCTGTGGGAAAAGCAAGTCTTATGGCTTGACTGGTGTGCAGATTTTTGTTTAGCATTGTATTAACTATCCACATACTTCAGGTGGAAGGGGTTTTCAATCACAATTTTTCCCCACCATAACCTAATTGAATTTTGCTATATATATATATACATATATATATATATATATATATATATATATGCATATATATAAATATATAAAATGCATAAAAAGTAAAAGAAAGCGCAAAAGGCTATATGTCATATGAAAATATAATACGTTTTATTCTAATAGAAATGACAAATACAATTTTTGTGTCATTTTATTTTATTTGTCATTTTTATTAGAATAAAATGTATTATATTTTCACATGACACATAGCCTTTTGCGCTTTCTTTTACCTTTTATGCAACCTTTATAGATACAATTATCGTTTCTGTGGCATGTACCAAAGAGGAGATAGAAGAAAAAGTTTCTATTTGGATTGATGTTGGTCTGGAACACACGGGGGTGGCAACTTATTATCTCCATAGGTCTGCCTTATCTCCACCTCTAGGCCAGACTTGGTAATCCACAGGGTATATATCTAATGATTCTGAAATATGTTTGTACTTGCTTGGGGCCAAATCAGATTTTGAGTGAGCTACCATCTGGGTCTTATTAGCCCCAGTGCACTGTTTCACAACCTTGGAGACTACTACCTTGAGTCTCCTTGGTTTGTGTCAAATTGCAAAGGGTGCTTTAACTCTGCATGTTGGACTCCCCCTCAAGGTAAGATCCATTACACCGGCATCACGAGAGAGGGCGCGTGAGGGAACAGGAAGATCATCAGCACAGGCAGTGTTCCCTCGCCATCGCCTGCCTCCTTCCTCACCCGGCCGGTATATTGTTGTAAAGTAGGCATCTGCCATCTGAGACAAGCAGGTGCCTACTCTGCCTTGCTACCGGGGCGCCCCAGGTGGCTAGCTGGCCACCTGCTGAGCTCTCTGTTGCAGGCTATCAGCCTGTTCCATGCGGCACCCCCCCATTTACTGGGCTCTCTGTTGCAGGCTATCAGCCTGTTCCATGTGGCGCCCTCCACCTACTGGCGCATAGGAACGGTGCACTAAGTGCACCTGCCCAGGATCGGTCCTTCAGCGGCCGTTTTTCAAACGATTTAGGTCGGCCTGGGGGGCAATTGCCTCCCTACCCCTCGGCCCAGCCCGCCTCTGAGTGCAGACAAATAGTGAACTTTAACCCTTTCACAACCACAACTATGTCACGTACACTCTTGAAGTAGGGTGCTTTTTGTGAAACTGACTCCTTCTTAAAGGGACACCGTAGGCACCCAGACTGCTTCAGCTCATTTAAGTGGCCTGGTTGCTGTGTCCCTTTTTCACTTAGTGCCGTAATGTAAAACATGCAAAAATATTTTTATTACAAACGTATAAAAATAAAAAATAAACAAAACAACCATAATTATAGTGAAATTTGGCTTTTGTATATAGCAGGGATGGCGAACCTATAGCACGCGTGCCACAGGTGGCACGCCGGGCCCTCTCTGTGGGCACGCGGCCATGGGTTCGCCATCAATGCAGAGTAGGCACCTGCCTGCCCAAAACGGCAGGCGCCTACTCTGCTTCCGTGTCGGGAGGCAGGGGGAGGGATCTGTGAAGCAGCTCCCCTGTCCTCCCGCTCGATGCTGTGTGGAGCGTTGCCACAGGAGGACAGAGGAGCTGCTTCACAGATCCCTCCCCCTGCCTCCCGACCCGGAAGCAGTGCTTGCCACCACCGGACCACCAGGGATGGCTGTGTCCCCCCCCATCCTTCATTAAAGGTAAGAAGGGGCAGGGGGGAGGGGGGCATACTGATTTAGTACACTTTAAAAAAAAAACACGTTTACCCCCCACACACTATCCACACACACACAGCACCCCTACCCCCCCACACACAGCACCCCTACCCCTTTCACACACACACACAGCACCCCTACCCCCACACAAAGCACCCCTACCTCTTTCACACACACAGTGGCACCCCCTACCCCCACACACAAAGCACCCCTACCCCCCACACACAGTGTACCCTCTACCCCCCACAAAGCACCCCTACCCCCAACACAAAGCACCCTACCCCACCTCACACACACACACACACAGTACCCCCTACCCCCCACAGCAGCACCCCCTACCCACCCAGCATCCCTCCCCAACACCCCTACACCCAGCATCCCTCCCCACCCACACCCAGCATCCCTTCCCTACTCCTACACCCGTACCCCCACACATCACCTCTACCCCCACACACAGCACTCTACCCCCCACACACAAAGTACCCCTACTACCACACACACACACAGCACCCCTACCCCCCCTGCACACACACAGCAGCCCTACCCCCACACAGCACCCCTCTTACACACACACACAGTACCCCTACACCCCACAGCAGCACAGCCTTACCCCGGCCAGCACCCCCTACCCCCGCCCAGCACCCCCCTCCACCCACACACAGCACCCCCTCCTCATATACACACACACATACAGCATCCTCATACACACACAACAACACCCTCACACACACACACACACACACACACAACACCACACACACACACACACACACACAACACCTTTCTCCCACACACATTGGCCTCTCTTCACACAACACACCCCACACACACCCCCACACACACACAACACCCCCCCCACACACACACACTCACAGCAACCCTCACACACACACACAGCACCCCCACACACACAGCACCCCACACAAACACACACACAGCACCCCACACAAACACACAGCACCCCACACAAACACACACACAGCACCCCACACAAACACTACACCCCTCAATGCAGTATGTGTGTGTATTCAGCAGTCTGTGTGTGTGTGTATGTATTCAGCGGTCTGTGTGTGTGTATGTATTCAGCGGTCTGTGTGTGTGTACTCAGCAGTCTGTGTGTGTGTACTCAGCAGTCTGTGTGTGTGTTCTCAGCTGTCTGTCTGTATGTGTATTCAGCAGACTGTGTGTGTGTATTCATCAGTCTCTGTATTCAGCAGTCTTGTGTGTGTGTGTGTATTCAGCAGACTGTGTGCATGTATTCAGCAGTCTGTGTGCGTATGTATTGCATTTGTTGGAGATACTAATAAATATAAGCTTAATTTTATCTATTTATTTAATTATTTAAAATTTGTATCATTGAACTCTCTGTTGTTGTGTTCTTTTAAAACAAAAGTTGTTAATTAGTTCAAACAACAGTACGAGTAGTTTTTTCTAAACTTAAACCTCAGTACTGAGGTTTAATTGCCGTGTTGGCACTTTAAGGAAAAAAAGTTGGCATGTATTGTGGTTTGGGCACTAGGGCTCAAAAAGGTTCGCCATCACTGGTATATAGGGATGTGTTGTGTGTTTGTGTGCGTGTGTGTGTAAAGGGGCTGTAGTGTGTGTGTTAAGAGGATTTGGTGTTTGTATAGGGGATTTGGTGTTTGTTAAGTTAATAGAGTGTATGTAAGTAGGGGATGTAGTGGATGGTATGTATGCATAAGTAATGCAGTGTATATGTATACAACATCTGGTGTGTGTAGGTTGTAGTGTGTCTGTGTGCATATAGGAGATTTAGTGTGTGCGTGTGTATAGGAAATACAGTGAGTGTCTGTATAGGGGATTTAGTGTGTGTGTAAAAGTGGATGCAGTTTACGCCTGTGTAAGAGATGCAGTGTGCGCGTATGTGTATAGTGAATGCAAAATACATCTGTGCAAATCAGTTTTGGGGGTAGGGTAGTGGCTGTTTTCTTTGGGGTGGTGAGTGGTGATCAGTTGTATATATATTTTTCAAGTTATTATATTTTGTTGTTGTTCATTTTATTATTATTATTGTTTCACCAGTCCATGGAACAAACATTCTCTGGTTGTCAGGTGGTATTCTAGAGATAAAATGCATCACATTCCTAAAATGTTTTTACCAATAATATATCTTACAGTTCTAATGGGAAGTAAGATATAATACAGAAAGTATATCTGGGACATAAGTATGTGGACACTTCCTCTAGTACCAAACCCTGAAACAAGGGATCCATGTTCAAATGTATACCTAAAATACTTGTGATTAGTGCATTTAAGTGAGATAATGATGAGGACTTGCCAGACAAACTTTGTGGTCATAGGAAATGATTTTTAGGTAACCCCCACCACATAAGTGGCAAAATGTTATACTGCCAATATTGCATAATGCAAAAATATACGTTTTAATCCTGAAAGTCATAGGACAGCAAAGAGCAAAGACTAAACAGCAGGGTAATCCTGCTCAGGAGAATTTCACACCAAGGTAAGTTTAATTACAAAAACATTAAGAAGTTGATGGGGAATAGCTGGAGAATGGTGATTTCAAATGATCTGCAAAATTTGGCGTTACAATTTGCTGCTTATAAAAAAAAAAAAATAGTTACAGGAATGATAGAATGCTCACACAAATACATTCTCAAATGACATTGTGATTTTCTAAAAACGGTATTGATGCACACTCATAGGAGCACTCGCACATTGTTCATAAGGTCAATAATTATACTTACTTGTTGTTTCACATCAAATCAAGTTTTGATTAGATAATTTGCAAGCCTACGTTTATAGACATGTTATTCTGACCTATGTGAACTGGCATAATGATCTGCTAATGAGGCATACAGAGAAGAAAATACAGAAGCAAATAGTACTATCTATTTGGAAATTGAAGTAAATAGGTTGCTGATATGAATGATGCATTAATTGATCTTGAAAAATTCTGAACATGTCATCAGCTCATAGCACTTCGAATAAATGACACTGCGGTTAATATGTGTATATACATATATATAACTATTATAAGAACAGTGGCACCTCATTGATTCAGTCGGGGATGGAATTACACCTCCGGCAGCAGAGAGGTTAATTTCCGTATGTGCAGGCACATAATGACTCCAGGCACCATGAGCGCTTCAAGTCACTGAAGCGGACATGGTGCTTGGAGTAACCATTTAAAAGTGTTCTCTAAGTACTACAACTACTGCTTTTAATGGTTGAAGTGTTAACATGGCTGTGGTGCTGTGTCAAATTGTTTTTGTAAGGTTTGAAAAACAAAGTTCCCCCAGGAGCATGTGGCCAGCATCTTGCTCACCAAATTGCTAATGTGGATGTTGCACTTCTGCATTAGCAATTTTGAGTGGCATTTATCGGCTGCCATACATATCTAACCAATGAATGCTTTCCAAATATGGATGAAACTGATATTGCTAATGCAGAGACGTAACTTCCACTGGTTTGACACAAAGGCAGTTGCTGTTAAGGGGGTTAGAGTGTCCATTTAAGCTTGATATACAAAGGATAGTTGTAGAGTTCGTAGTGGAATTATATATTTTCCATAAATTAAGTGGATAGGAAAATAAGAGTTTGGCAGTTATACACATTATAAGTTGTGCTTGGGTAAATATCTAAGAACAGGCATTCCCGTTTCCAAGCTTGAATCATTAGATATATTCAAATAAGGAAGATTCCCATCCTTTTTATGTTTTAGAATTCCAAGGTTATTATTACATTGTTTTGACACAATTAACAAAAAAATAGTCTTAGACCATTATATACATTATATCCAACGTTTAATGTTTAGAGTAAGCTCTCATTAACGCTGCCCTTTATACTTATTCTACCTTCTGTCCTCATTTGGCACATAAACAAAGCACTTTGCTAGAAGAGCAGGAACATTAACAAGAGAGAAGGGTCATTGAAAATAAAATTATAAAAAATAAATAAATAAGAAAACATGGCTGGGGAAATGGAGGCTGTGTTCTGAGTACCTCTTAATTTGATTCAATGCTTAATTGTAATTAGAATGATAGTCTGTTTAGTCAGTGATTTTGCTTCTCTAAAACCATCAAATGTCCAATGTATGACCAACGTGTATATTCCGAGGATAAAGCCTCTCTTACTGCTTATGGCTAAAACCTAATGAGAAGCCAAGCAATAAGCAAAAGCATGAGTTACGTTTGTAGTTATACACACGACAGCTGTTACAGGATGATTAATTTGCATCAATTATGTTTTATTGGTTATAGGATCCTTAACATCACAAACTCTGAGAACATAAACCTTTTAGCATTGCCTAAACTACTTCTGCTTTGTCAAATGGCTTCCTACTTAAAAGCATTTTGCCCCACACACTCTTTAATCCTGTGGGAAACAACCACTCTAGAAAGTAGATATAGGCAAGCAGGCACGATGTTCTTAAATGCTTGGCAGATATTGAACTTCAGATGGAAAGTTAAAGATACAGTCATTTCTTTACAGGTTCTGTGGGAAGTGATTGAATTACTATTTGGTTATTTGGCTTATTCACATAATGCAAAAATGACTTTATTGTGTTAGCTGACTATCATGTTATTTGACTTTATACTTACAGGAACACACTGATTACCAAAAGAACGAAAACGCATTTGATAGGTTTTGACATTATATGCATGCTGTGTTGCTTTGCTCTGTTGAAATTTCTTTAGTTTTGCAGAAAGATAAGGAAAGAAAAATGTTTTACGGCCTTCTGCAGCAAAACTCCACCCACTTAGTCATGCCTTTTCTTTTCACGTAACATCTTCTTGACTGGAATGTTATTTTGTCCACAAACCTCTCCCCAAAAATGCATCTTCACCTTTTTGTCTTATAATCCCCCCTCTTGGATTTCTTACCACCTTTTGTGTTTCTTATTCTCTCTTTTGAA